GAGGCAACTGGACTTTCTTGTTTTCTCTTTTTGAAGATGTTTCACTTCTCATCCAAGAAGCTTCTTCAGCTCTGACAGGATAGTGGGGAAATGAAGGATTTATATTCCTTGCAGTGCGTGTGTGTGGGGGGGGGGAGTGTGTGTGTGTGGGGGGTTGTGCATGCATGCGCATGTGGAGGCATGCTTTGCATTATGGGTGCCGGCACACACGCATGCTATTACATGCACGACGTGCTTGCATTTTTGGCACCCAACAACAAAAAGGTTAGCCATCACTGCTCTAAAGGATGCAAAAGTCCAGGTGTCTGCAAGGAATATAAATCCTTCCATTCTCCACTATCCTGTCAGAGCTGAAGAAGCTTCTTGGATGAGAAATGAAACATCTTCAAAAGAAAAAACAAGAAAGTCCAGTTGCCTCCTGAAAAAGCACCTTTGGGTTCTACTTATTATGTTGGGAAGCCAAAATGCTTCTTCTGCTGTTGAAATGTTTGTTTTACCCTTTTACCCCATTCGAGAATGCTGCCAATTGGAAGGTGGCTTGAACCAGATGCTTCTCCTGGCTGCCCAGACTGCTCTGGGCTAGAAAACGCTGTGGAACTTTTGGATCCAGCAGCTGAGAAATGGCCTAAATATGGTCCCACCATTGATGTACACAGAAACAGGGTTGAACTGACAAAATGGATACTGAATTTTGTCCTTCATACATTCTAGCATAAATTGGGTTTTGAGTAGCTGGCACAGAGCTGATTGATATTTTCATTAAGCTTCCCATCATAATTGCAATATTTCTTCCCCCGTCCAGGGCTCCCAGTTCAATCCCAGTTATATATCAAAGGGTTTGATGTGGTGTTCCAGTTTTTATCACTTGTTTTGCTTGTACTGCATTTACTGCCCACTCACTCAATTTGGATGGCTCATTTTGGTCCTCTTCAATGTTCCTTGTTTAGTTTTATAATGTTAAATGATTTAATATAACTAACAAGTTTAGCTACATCACTATGCAACCCCACTGTTTGATCATTCATAGCCAAGTTATAAAATATTAGTCCTAGTATAAAGGCTTGGTACAGCTTTGTAAAAACTCCGTCATTACTACCAGCCTAGTGCATTTTTAATAAGATGCCAATCTATGAAAGGATCTATACTTAAGACCTTGGTCAAAGGCCAAAGTTACTGT